ACCATGTGCTGAACATTGCACTCCTAAGCAGCACAGGTACAACTTACCGGAACCTTCCCTGCACTGATGCCTTGCTCACCTTATTGGCCCCAGTACATGGCACAAACAACCCATCCCAGCTCCTCCCCTTCAGCTAGACCTGCCCTGTTGCACCACAGCTGAATGACTGGCCCTGCCTATTGGACAAGGAGGTGAAAAATACCGTGTCCACAGACAAGCAGACAACAAAGAACACATAGCATAGCCTGCCTGCTCAGACATAACCAAATAAAAAATCAGGACAAAACAAACAAATCTGCAGTAAGTAAATGATGACAATAAGTACTGAATGTCCCAAAGACAACAGACAATATCAAAACATATTAAAAAACAGGTACAGGATGGTTCCAGTAGGTGTCCAAAATAAAACACCAGATGACTTTCTACTAGAAGAAAAGGCACTAGAACTACCTGATAGGGAATTCAGATCTCTAATATTCAGAGCTATCTAAGAGTTGAAGGGAAAAGCAGACAAAAATGAGGAAAAAATAGACAAATTCATGGAAAAGGCAGACAAATTCATGGAAAATACAAAAAAAATGGAAGAATTCAGGAAAATAAAGTAACAAAATGCCAAAATAAATTCAGAACTACAAATCATACAAAAACAATTAGAAATCCAAAAGATAAACAACAAAATTTCAGAAATGGATGGTGTCATAGAAGCGCTGAGGAGCAGGTTTGAAATGATGGAAGGCAGGATCAGCAAAATTGAAGACAAACACATGGATACAATTCAGTTTGAGGAAAAATCATTTAAAAAAAAAAAGAAAAATGAAGAAAAGAAACCCTGAGAATTATGTGGGATACAATCAAAAGCAAAAATTAGCAAGTGATCAGAGTTGCAGAACGGGGGAGAAAACAGAAAACACAGAGACGATCATTGAAGAACTGCTGACAGAAAACTTCCCCAATATCATGAAAGATGAAAAGCTGACCATCCAAGAAGCTCAACAAACCCAATATAGGATAGAACCC